ATGTCCGGAATTGTATACATTTCGCAATTTGTACAGTGATTTTTGTACACATCGCGAATTGTACAATGTTGCTGTACAAAGTAACTAGATTGTACAAGTTTCATTATACAATTCGCAATATCTACAATAATCACTGTACAAATTGCGAAATGTACCTTTATTGTACAAATCACAAAATTTAAAAGCATATTATAAAAATTACAAATCGTATAAAATAACATATTACTGTAAAGTGTACACAGTACACATCGTGATATGAAATAAAATACGTGAATCTATAATAAGATGTATAATAAGATGTATAATAAGATGTATAATAAGATGTATAATAAGATGTATAATAATATCATTTGTTGTTTTTCCAACGTTATGTGGAATCTAACGTATTAATAAAGGTATAATGCAATAAAAATGATAAATTTTATCCAAACGACTTGACTATAAGTACTGCCGTTGAGTCGTTCAGAAGTATAATTTAAACAGATTTTAATAYGGACTAGTGCATTGTAATCGGAACTGCTGCAATATTTCAACTTATATTAGTGTGATTATAGTATTATACAATCGGGAAAAATGAGTGAAGTTGAAAATAATATTAATTAAAGTTTTTTTTTTTATATGATTTACTAATATGTAATATTTGTTAAGAAAATATTTTTAAAACACATCACTTATTATATTGTAATGTATATAACTTTATATTAAAATATCCAGTATTCCTATTTATTTGTTAATAATAATTAAGCCTTTAAAACTAGCAGTAATCTTGTGATTTGAACAGTGAAGATACATTTCGCAATTTATACAGTGATTATTGTGTATATCGCGAATTGTATAGTGAAACTTGTACAATTCCGTCATTGTATGTAACATACTTATATAAACATTCGGTGAAAATGTCGTGTATCTATGGTAATTTGGTTCAAAGTTACATTAAAAACCAAAATCGATTTTGTCGAAAACTGATAGTGCGTAAAATGTCCAGTATTCCYTTTAATTTTTAGTTTGTTTATCCCGATTATTTAAAAAAATATTAAGAATTTTTTACTTTTGACCCCCCAAAGTATCAACTAGATTCACTTTCTGATTGAAAGAGGTACTGAAGTAAAAAATCGAAGCACTTTTACTGCCCCAAAACGTGATGACAGACACAAAAAAAAATAAAAACACACATCATGATGGTAAAATCAATACATTCATCGCTCCGCATCTAAAAATTAACT